AGTCCTCCTAATCCTGTATAATGGCATTGACACGGACAGTGACAATGGCACCTCAGGGAGCCTTAGCCAGCCTGGTCCAAGAAGGAGCCCATGCCAGGACTTATCAGCTGCTGCCAATGAGATTTCCCGGCTAAGCCTCAGGTCCCCTGCCCCTGGGAGGCTGGAGCAGGGACTGTCCCACCTCTCGTCCCCTGGTCTCTCGGGCTGACCAGCATTGCTGGGGGAGTGTGGCTGTGTGAGCAGGAGCCCGAGGTGGGGCCTCCTGTCCTGTACAGAGCATATTTGACAACCCTGAGTACCCGGGTTTTGTGGGAGCCCTGGGAGATGGGCGGCACTCACCCTGCTCTACATATGGGGAAACTGAGGCTTGGAGTGGGCCTGAGACTTGCCCAAGTTCACAACAACAACAACAAGTTCTAACAGCTGACCAACTCAGCACAGTCCAGGCTGACCTGGCTTCTCACATCCCCACCTCCCATTCACCTTCCACCAGGCTAGACCAGCGGTGCCATGGCACTCACTCGCCCACTCAGGCCAGCCTCACCTATCCTCCTCTCACCTCATCCCCTCTGACCCTCACACCCCTCCCCAGTGCAGGGAAGGCTCTCCCTGGGTTCATGGACCCAGAGTCTAGAGACTCATCATCTTGGGGGATGGGGGTTGTGAGAAGTTCATTGTGGGGGGCCTCCTGCTGCATGCTGGGTAGCTCACGGCATCCTCATGCTACCTCCTGAGGTTAAGACTATTCAGCCATCTTGTGGGTGAGGAAACTGAGGCCAGGGAGGGTGGGGTGGCATATCCAGTGCCCCCCAGTTAGCTGGCCGGGAGAGCCTGCATGAAGGGCAGAAGGGTCCCGAAGGGAACGTGGGGTTGGTGGGCCAGGATCTGTCAGTCACTGCCACCCTGGGACCTGTGCCTGACCTGCCACCAGCTTGCCACGGGCCATGTTCCTTTTCTAGTCCTGGCCTCAGCTTCCCCTCTGAGAAGGGCTGGGATTGGGCTGACTGAGGGGTCTAGAGTCTGGTGGCACATGAACAGGAAGAGGGGGAAGACCAACTTGTGGTTTCTACAGGTGGGGTCGAGGCCATTGGGGGCGACTGTCACCCACAGTCACTCAGCAAAGCCATGGCCATGCTCAGCTGCTGTCTGCTCTGCCCATCAGTCTCTTGATCTTCGCTCTCCTCCCCCATCCTAACGGGAGGGGACATGGTATGGCATGTAGGAGGCTGGACCGGGGGCCCACACCAAGAATGACAACACGCTGCCCCTGACTTTGTTCCTTTCCTCCGTGGTGAAAGGACAGAGGGTCCTTTAGCAGAGGTGCTGGGGCACTTCCGGTGGCCCCTGCTCCAGCACATTCCCACCACCCGTGTGGGTGAGTGCCATGTCAGGCATGGTGGGGCCGGTTAGCACCACTTAAGTCTGAGCTGCAAAGAACTCTGCTTCCCAGTTGCCTGTCTTTGCCTGTCTCCCTCTGCCCTGTGGGCTGGCCCAGCTGCATTTTGGGGGCTTGGCCAGACCCAGTGCTTATCTGTCTCCCTGGCCCCTGGGGTATGTGGGGGTGCAGGCACCTGGCGCCATGTCCTCTCCCTCTCTGCCATCTCAGCCATGCTCCTCTGTCCCCTGCTGGCTGCCTCGGTATTTTTGTCTTTCTCTCCTCAGTCCTCATTGCCTCTACCCACAGTTCCCTCACCTCCTGCCTTCTTCTCTCACCCCCCCAAGGTGTGAGGGGGAGAGGGCCCTGCTCCGTCCACTACTGTGTGGGTTGGGAATCACCATCGTGGGAGGCGGGAGGAGTAACCTTGCCCATTTGACCCTGGGACCCTCTGCCCAGGCCTGAGAGAGTTGAGGCTGGTCATGCCCACACCCCCACACACATCTTGAGCTGCCGGGCGGGGGGCCAAGTGCTGCTGTCAGCGCCTTCGCGGTCTTGTCAGGCCTGGAGGGGTGGTGGGCAGGCAGCCCAGGGACGGGGACAGGGTGGCTGACGTACACAGGACGGCAGTGGGGAGCCTCCTCTCCCTCGATTTGAGTCATCTTAGGAGATAGGGTGGGGAGAGGGTCAGGAAGAGGAGAGAGAGCCACAGGCAGGGTCACCTTGACGGCTCAGGTGGGCGGAGCTTAGAGAGACTGAGGTGGGGCACATTGGGCCGCTGCCTACCCTGGGATGTTTGGGAAGGGAAGGGCTGGAGCTAGAGTGAGTCCCTTCAAACTTGAGGCCGTGTTCCACTCACCCTCTGCCTCACAAATCCTCTCAGCAAAGCCTGTGGAACTCCAGTAAGGTCAGCTTTGCTGGTGCCCCAGGGCCTGGCTGAGGGGTCTCCTGAGGATAGGGGGTGCGAGTGGGGGGTCTCGTGTGGCTAAAGCTGTTCATGTGCATCCACATGTCCACATACATGTGGAACATACATGTGCTTAAACATGTCATCATACAAGCATGCATTCCCAAGAGATGCACCCCCCACCTTCCTGTCCCTCTGTACATACCTGCAGTGTCCGTGTGTGCCTCTGTCCTGTGGACATGTGTGTATACATGCGTGCACACATTGGCACATCCCTGCACGGGCACTCTGAGCCAGCCGCGCACCTGCGCGTGCACCTGCATACCAATGCAGGTCCCAGACATGCCCAGATGGAGGAAGGGGAGGAACTGCGCTGGGAGCTGACAGAGCTCTGACAGGCAGGCTTGTGGGTCCCTGATGCAGGAGCTGGGGCACTTGGCCTCCTCCGGTGCAACCTTGTTGCCTGTGGGAAGGGAAACTGAGGCCCAGAGAGGGGTAGGATTGGCCCAGGGCTCCCCAGGAGCCAGCAGCCCAGCCACATGGGAGCTCAGGTACCCTGACCCCAGCCTGAGACTCTTCTGTGTCACAGCTAAGGATAAAATGCTGTCTGCTGCCGGGGTACCCCTTTCTGCCCGGCTGCCTCGAGAGATCGCCTCCCCACACATACCCACACACTTGCCTGGCCCCTCAGCCAGCGCTGGCACTGCGGCAGAAGGGGAGGGGAGAGTCTGCAGCCTGTAATCCAGGGTCATGAGGGCGCCCTGGGCATCTGCTCTCCCACCCCACAGACTTCCTTTCGGATTTTCCTGCTCCCCGCTTCCCTCTCCTCTGTTCCAGCCCTCTGGGGCTCGGTGCTGTAAATTGGTTTTGCTTTGATGGCAACGGTTTAAAATGTTTTCCGAAGCGCTCCTTCCTGGAGTTTCCCAGGATGAGGAGCGGGAGGCGGAGGAGGCTCTTGTGAATGAATGGTCTCCAGCTTGCTTTCTGCAAACATGGATCTTCTGGCCTAGTCTTCGCAGTCCTGGCCACTGCCCAAGGACAGGAGACCCGGGCTGTGTCTGGAGTTGAGAGAGCACTGGGATGAGAGCTGGAGCCAGGAGCTGCCTGAGGGCTGCATCCAGCTGGCTGGGCGGCTGCGACAAGGTGCTCCCTGGGTCAAGGACTCAGTTTCCCCACTTGCATAGTAAGGGTTGACTCAGATGGTCTCCAAGAGCCAGCGGCTCTGCTGACTTGATCGCTGTTGGCCTCCCGTGCCCCTCAGCATCTTGGGGATGGGCAGCATGCATCACCTTTACTTCCTCCTCCCAGCAAGTGGGCCAGTCTCCCCACTTTATAGATAAGGAAACAGATTCAGAGCAGTGGCGTGGCCAGGTGAGACGGGCTCCAGGCTGTGCTGTGGGACTCGGTGCAAGTCCCTGTCCCTCTCTGGCCTGTGACACTCCAGCCTTTGGTCACACTATTCTGCACGTCTGTGTTCCTCACCTGCCCGAGGGCACCTCTACAGGGTCAGGGCTCTCTGGGAAGGCACTTTGGGGAGGGGATGTTAAACATTGTCTCTGGCTTCCAGACTCTGCCCTCTCCCCCACTTGGCTCTGCTTCCAGCCATAAGCCTTCCCCACTCACTCTCCCTACGGGAGACCCCAGCCCCTGCCTCCCCTGGCTGGGGTGGGGGGAGGGCCACAGCCCTCATGTTTGCTCCCCCTCCCCCATAGGAGCTGAGACAAGGGAATTATTTTTGGAACAAGAGCGGTTACACAACAAATGAATTATTTATCTTTGGGAATGGAGGAGAGGAGGCATTTTTCTGGCTTCCGAATGCTTGATCTGGATTGGGGGGCGCCTGCTCGGGTATGAGGCTGGGTGTGTATGGGCCTGTTTGTCGTATGCACAGACTCTGTGTGTGTGTGTGTGTCCCTGTCTATGCGAAGGCCATGGAGCTCCGGCTCGGGGTGGCCTGTGGGTCTTTGTGTAGGCAGTGGACAGGTGTGAACCTGGGTGTGAGCGTGTGCGGTCACCTGTTCCCACCTGTCCTGTCCAGCCTCTCTTCTCTGCCCACCTCCTCAGCTTCTATTCCCCCTTTCTTCTCTGTCTCCCTGCTTCCGGCCCTCTCCTGCTACCCACCCCCCAATCCTCTCTTTTGTATGTAATAGGAATTGCAGAGTGCTCCCTGCCACAGGGGCTCCTGGAGGGGTGTGGAATAGGGGTGGGGGTTGCGTTGGAGCTTAGGAGGCTGCTCGGAGCCCTCACACTGATCTGTCACCCCCTCTCGGTGCTTCCTTCCAGGAACCAGGGGACAGATGGGTCTCTTCCTTCCTCCCCCTGTCTCTCGGCTTCCCTCACTAATGCTCCACCTCCACCCTCCTGTGGCAACCGCCTGAAGTTCTGAACCTAGACCCTGCAAAGGAGGAGGAGGAGGAGGAGAGGAAGTCAGAGCCCCGAGAGCCTGGGCACCTTCCTGGCAGAAGAGTGAAGCCGGGGGAGCAGGTTGGGCACCCCAGGGCCAGGCTAGGCCACAGCGCCCAGCAGCTAGCACCCCACAAGGCCACCGGCAGTTGGCACTGGCCGTGCCCACCTCACCTGGGGCCCCCGAGCTGGGGGTCGCCCCCAAGATGGTGGCGGCCCCGGGAAGGACTGTGCTGTCAGCCCCAGCCTCCGACCGCTAGGATCTCCCAGCCCCTCACCTCGTGCCCGGCCCGCCTGGGGGCTGCGGCTGGCGCCATGCTGCGCCTGGGGCTGTGTGCGGCCGCGCTGCTGTGCGTGTGCCGGCCAGGCGCCGTGCGCGCCGACTGCTGGCTCATCGAGGGCGACAAGGGCTACGTGTGGCTGGCCATCTGCAGCCAGAACCAGCCGCCCTATGAGACCATCCCGCAGCACATCAACAGCACGGTGCATGACCTGCGACTCAACGAGAACAAACTCAAGGCCGTGCTCTACTCCTCGCTCAACCGCTTCGGGAACCTCACCGACCTCAACCTCACCAAGAACGAGATCTCCTACATCGAGGATGGCGCCTTCCTGGGCCAGGCGAGCCTGCAGGTCCTGCAGCTGGGCTACAACAAGCTCAGCAACCTGACCGAGGGCATGCTGCGCGGCATGGGCCGCCTGCAGTTCCTCTTCGTCCAGCACAACCTCATTGAGGTGGTGACGCCCGCCGCCTTCTCCGAGTGCCCCAGCCTCATCAGCATCGACCTGTCCTCCAACCGCCTGAGCCGCCTCGACGGCGCCACCTTTGCCAACCTCGCCAGCCTCATGGTATGCGAGCTGGCGGGCAACCCGTTCAACTGCGAGTGCGACCTCTTTGGCTTCCTGGCCTGGCTCGTGGTCTTCAACAACGTCACCAAGAACTATGACCGCCTGCAGTGCGAGTCGCCGCGAGAGTTCGCCGGCTACCCGCTGCTCGTGCCCAGACCCTACCACAGCCTCAACGCCATCACTGTGCTGCAGGCCAAGTGCCGCAATGGCTCGCTGCCCGTCCGGCCCGTGAGCCACCCCACGCCCTATTCCACCGACGCCCAGAGGGAACCCGACGAGAACTCAGGCTTCAACCCAGACGAGATCCTATCCGTGGAGCCACCAGCCTCATCCACCACTGATGCGTCCGCGGGGCCCGCCATTAAGCTGCACCATGTCACCTTCACCTCGGCCACCCTGGTGGTCATCATCCCTCACCCTTACAGCAAGATGTACGTGCTGGTTCAGTACAACAACAGCTACTTCTCCGATGTCATGACCCTCAAAAACAAGAAGGAGATTGTCACGCTTGACAAGCTGAGGGCGCACACTGAGTACACCTTCTGCGTGACCTCTCTGCGTAACAGCCGCCGCTTCAACCATACCTGCCTGACCTTTACCACGCGGGACCCTGTGCCAGGTGACCTGGCGCCCAGCACCTCCACCACCACCCACTACATCATGACCATCCTGGGCTGCCTCTTTGGCATGGTGATCGTGCTGGGGGCCGTCTACTACTGCCTGCGTAAGCGACGCATGCAGGAGGAGAAGCAGAAGTCGGTCAACGTCAAGAAGACCATCCTGGAGATGCGTTATGGGGCTGACGTGGATGCTGGCTCCATCATCCACGCCGCCCAGAAGCTGGGCGAGCCCCCCGTGCTGCCTGCCGCCCGCATGCCCTCCCTCCCCTCCATGATTGGGGAGAAGCTCCCCACTGCCAAGGGGCTGGAGGCTGGGCTGGACACACCCAAGGTGGCCACCAAAGGCAACTACATCGAGGTGCGTACGGGTGCCGGCGGGGACGGCCTGGCCCGGCCTGAGGACGACCTCCCAGACCTCGAGAATGGCCAGGGTTCGGCTGCAGAGATCTCCACCATTGCCAAGGAGGTGGACAAAGTCAACCAGATCATTAATAACTGCATCGACGCCCTCAAGCTGGACTCAGCCTCTTTCCTGGGGGGTGGCGGTGGTGGGGGAGATCCAGAGCTGGCCTTTGAATGCCAGTCCCTCCCTGCAGCCACTGCCGCCTCCTCGGCCGTGGCCTCTGGGGCGCTGGAGAGGCCCAGCTTCCTCTCACCCCCCTACAAGGAGAGCGCCCATCACCCTCTGCAGCGCCAGCTGAGCGCTGATGCCGCCGTGACCCGCAAGACCTGCAGCGTGTCCTCCAGCGGCTCCATCAAGAGCGCTAAGGTCTTCAGCCTGGACGTGCCCGATCACCCGGCCGCCTCGGGGCTCACCAAGGGCGACTCCAAATACATCGAGAAGGGAAGCCCCCTGCACAGCCCGCTGGACAGGCTCCCGCTGGTGCCAGCGGGCAGCAGTGGGGGTGGCGGGGGCGTCCACCACCTGGAGGTGAAGCCCGCCTACCACTGCAGCGAGCACCGGCATAGCTTCCCCGCCCTGTACTACGAGGAGGGCGCCGACAGCCTGAGCCAGCGCGTGTCCTTCCTCAAGCCTCTGACCCGCTCCAAGCGTGACTCCGCCTACTCGCAGCTCTCCCCCAGACACTACTACTCAGGTTACTCCTCCAGCCCTGAGTACTCCTCCGAGAGCACGCACAAGATCTGGGAGCGCTTCCGGCCCTACAAGAAGCACCACCGGGAGGAGGTGTACATGGCCGCCGGCCACGCCCTGCGCAAGAAGGTCCAGTTCGCCAAGGACGAGGACCTGCACGACATCCTGGATTACTGGAAGGGGGTCTCGGCCCAGCAGAAGCTGTGACCCTCTTCTCCCCGGTGAGGTTGGAGGTGGGGCTGGGCCCGCAGGGGAGGGCCTGGTGGCCGGGGTGGCGGGCAGAGCGAGGGGGCCCCCCCCAGGTATAGGAGTGGACGCACACGCACACCCGCACGCACGCACCATGCACACACCTGACCACCACCTGACTGTGAACAAACCAACACCCGACAATAACGGACAGGAAAACAAAGACACATTTTCCTTAAAGTTTACAAACTGATACCGAAACCAGTCGTCTTTACTGTGCTGTCCCGGGACTCTGCTGGGGTGTGTGGGCGGGCAGGGGGCAGGGTAGGTCAGGACACCAGAAGAGGGTGTGAGGCCTGGGGGTCTGGGACCAGGTACAGGTTTGGGAGTGAAGGAGCCTGGGGTACCAGATGGGCTGAAGCCCCCTTTGGGGCAGAGAGAGGGTCCCCAGCCCCTAGCTGGGTCACCTGAAGATGTAGCATCAGATAAGATTGGATGTCATTTTCTTCCACTTAAGGATGGGGAAACTGAGGCCCAGAGAACGGAGGTGATAACCCTGGGGTCACATGGCAGGTTAGAATCTAAGTCTCCCCCACCCCAGGGCTCTCCTGTAGCCCCCTCCCTCCATCCACCCACCGCCTCCTACCAAAGCTGTGGTCTCCTGAGGCTGAGGGGCTTGAGAGCCAGGCAGGTTCTGGCCTCCAGAGTGTGGATTGGTTCATGGTGCTGGAGACCCTCACCCCACCAACGCCAGCAGGCAGGAGAGGAGGGAGGGCATCCCACCAGCCCCCTTCATGTGTCTTTCAAGCAGCCTGGGAGCTGCCTGTGGGCTCTGAGGAGAGGAGGATGGGCAGGCCCCATGCCCCGGCCCCCAGGCCCCGTATCAGAACAGGAGCAGACTCTATGATGGGTGAGAGAAATAGGGAGGTGAGTCTAACAGGGGGCTTCCTGCCTGGACCCCCATATCCTGGCTTCCTATCTGCCTGACCCCCATCGTGGGCTCTTGGGGCAGCATCTGAGCCTGCAGGAGGAAGGAGGGGTTTCCCACCCACCCCCTCTTGGCTGCCTATACCTGCCCCATCCTTGGCCCTAGGGGCTTCCATGTTTCCATAGCAATGGTCCCTCCCCTCCTGACCCCCACCCGACATCAAACAAAGCACAAACAGTGAGGTCCCCCCTCCCCTGGGAGGGGAGCAGGCTGGGCTCCTGGAGCCCCTCCCCCTCCCTGGCCAGCCTCTGTCACCGTGGCAACCCCTCAGGCTGGCAGTTGGTGCCCAGAGTTAACGTTGGTCTTGAGAGGGTTCTCTCAGTGTAGGCTGCAGGGAGCAGGGAGGAAGGACAGGGCCCAGTGTGCTCCCTTTCTCAAGGGCCAGAGGCTTCCAGGGGGCCCACCCTGGCCCACCCTGGGTGGTCCTGAGGCTGTGGCGTCTTCCAGACTGCCCCCATGCCTAGGGGCCAGTCTGTCATCCCTTTACCTTTGGTGGGGAGGTGGGCCAGCGGGGAGTGGAGACCAGTCTACTGGGAAGCTTTGTCCACCTGCGCCCACCCAGCCACCTCAGGACGGGGACCAGCCTGCTTGGCTCTCCCCACACCCTGCCAGAGAGCCAGGCTCTGGCCTATCACCCAGTTGGGCTTCTGGAGACTTGGGGAGTGTGGTGGTGGGGTGAGTGTGGGTGCTGGGGTGAAACAAAGGCCTGTAGTGGGGAGGTCTGACTGGGAAGCTAGTGCCATCCCCTAGGGGGCGCCAAGGGAGTCAAATTGGGGAAGGGCAGAGGCCTCAGGATCAACTGAGCGCCTGTGTCTTACACTTTGGGGGACTGACCAAGCCTGGGGCTTACTTCAGGGGTGACATTTGCAAAGAAAGGACTGTTCTCCTGGGGAGTGGATGGGAGGGGGCTACCTGCCCCCAACCTGTCCCCCAACCCGTTCCCACACCTGATTGGCAAAACAGACAAGCAAGGAGGCAGAGACGCCGTTGGTGGGAGGGAGCAGGTCCCCCGTTATATTGCATGACGATTTCACTGTATTTTTCTGAGCAAACATCTGTCGTGTATGTGCCAGTTTGTCCAGACTCCCCTGCCTCCTCCTCCCGCCTCCCCCCTTTCCCAAGTCCCTTCTGTTGTGACCTGATGAGCAGCTCTTGAAACCCAGGGAGGGGCCCGCTCTACAAAGGACCCAAAACAGGTGCCACCAAAACACAGCCCCACCCTGTACCACCTCCCATCTTTCTGGGCATTAGGCCCACAAGTGCCACCTCCCCTCTTCCCTCTGCCTCTCTGCCACCCTGACCCCCCCAACTTCAGTTTCATCCCTCCCTGCCTCACCTCTTTCCCCCTCCTCTGTGCCAGGGAAGGGTGGCCCCGGGGGGGATTCTGGGAGGATCTGGCCCACTCGCTCCCATTTTGCAGATGAAGTCGGGGCCCCCCGAAAGAGAGATCTGGTGACTTTGCCAGACTTGGGGGGGGGGCTCAGTCACAGTCACACTGCTGAGGCCAGGAGGCCAGGCTGCGAGCTGTGGTGCAGGGTTCATGGAGGCTTTAGATGGGAGGCTTGGGGCCCTGAGTTAGGGGCACAACCCTGAGGTTGGCCTGGCTCAGAGATAGGCTGTCCACATGTGACTCTCCCAGAGGTTCAGGGAATACCCCAGCATCTGCAGCAGGAGTGCTGCCCTTGACATGCCCCCATCATTCCTGGTTGGAGATGACCTATAGAAGCTTCAGACCGTCAAACTGCTGGGGGCCTTAAAGATAGGTCCTGATTTTCATAGCAAGGACCCTGCTGCTCCCAGGAAGTGAGGAATGACCTCCTCAGCTGCCAGGCATATCGTTCTTTGAGGCTGACCGGGCTCTGACCCTTAGCTGCTCAGGCTGGGCTCTGGGGAGGGGGACTTGGCACTGAGCGCACCCCCAAGGCCCCCCTGCATCTGTGACCTGTTCACATTTCCTTCATTTTCCCTAGGTTGAAGGGAAATATTTACAAAAGACAAAGGGGCAGTTGGGTGCAGGGATCTCGGCGGGGCTCGGTTCCTGTGTTTGTAATGGCAGTGAATAACAGTGGGCTCGGGCTGTGGCTGGGAGGGAGGGCAGGTGCTGTGGGCAAGAGGGGGGTGGGCTTGCTGGGCCTGGTGGAGCGAAGTGGGGGTGGGGGCAGCTGAACAGAACAGGGGGATGAGGAAGGGAGGGGAAGGTTTCCCATCTTAGACCCCTTCAGGCAAAGCCTCCCTACCAAATGAGATCATGACTGGCCTCCCCATCCCTGTCCCCTGTTGGAGGATGTCTTCAGAAGCCCTGAAGCTCCTGAGGGCGTGGTGGGCACAACCGACACTGTTAGATCCAATGGCCTTTCAGAAGCTAACGGCCAAGGTCCCTGGAGGAAAGAAAGTTTAGTCAGATGAGGGTACCTCCTGGGGGGAGGGTCCTTCCTCTCCCTGTCTCTCTGCCCATGGAGGCACCTGACCCAGCAGGGTGAAGAATCTGGGGCTGGCCACGGGTCACCAATGCCCCAACAGCAAGACATTCTCCAGGAGGCTGTGCCCCACTGGAAACAGACCCCCAGGAAGGGAAAGGCTAGGACCTCTTCTGGGGTTTAGAAACCGGTCCGTGGAAGGGCTGAGGCCAGGAAGGGGGGGCCTGGCGTGAGTGACAGCACTGATGGGGTCAGTTCCCAGTGTTGAAGGGGCTTACAGTGAAGGGACAGACCCCAAATATTCCCCAGAGGGGGGTATTCTGCAGAGAATTAACAGTCATTCTCTGTGTAGGGTGGGTTTTGTCGAGAGTCGGAACCCACTCGAAGGCAATGGGTTTGGGTTTTTGGTGGGATAATTGGCACTGGGGAGGTTGGGTGGTGGTGGTGGGGTCCCTCGGAGGAGGTGACAGGTAGCTAGGCTCTGAACCACAATGGAGCCAGACAGCCACCTGGGAATGAGACTGGAGGGGAGAGGAGAGGAGGGGGCGTGGGGGTCCATAGTGGTGAGATGCTCTCCACAGCTCCTTCTCTGGCACCCCACTGTCTGCCCCGGCCCTGCTAGTGAACCTGCCATGCAGCAGCACCTGGCAGGGTGGATCACATTTCCCGACGGTAGATGGGTGGGACTTAATTTGGGGGAGTTGGGGTGACCCTCTGTGTGGCTGGTGGGGCAAGGCTAAAGCCATCCAGTCATGTGATTGCTTCTCCTCGCTGACAGACTTCTGTCCCGTGGCCCCACTGCCAGAAGCCTCCCTTTGTGACTTGAACCCTGTCCTCGGTGCAGGAGAGGACTCTCTCAGCCCCCATGTTTATATTCCCCCTTCCTGATGGGCCCACCTTGAAGGCAGAACAACACTGGCACACTGACCTCTTCCAGCTGCCACCCAGAGGTCAACAGCAGCTGCCCGGCAGTAGGGCGCTAGAGAGGGGGGCTCAGGGACAAGGCAGGGCTGTCTGGGCCTCCTCTTCCTTCCCCCTGGCCCTTGGCCAAGCAAGCACAGGGTCAGGGCAGGGGTGGGGAGGCAGAAGGGTGGGGCTGTGCCTGCTGGCTTCCTCCTGACCTACTTCACTCTGTAGGACGCTACCACCCAAGGGCACTGTGTCCGGCACCTGCTTTGGGTCCTGCAGCGTTGGGCTCAGAGTCCCGGGGAATAAACCTGTGAACCCCAGCTGTGTGGACCTGTCCTCCCTCTGGGGGCCTCGAACACTCTCCTCTCCTTTTAGGCGGGTAACTTGATTTATTTTCTCTCCCCTCTATCTCTGCCTCTCCCTCCCTTCAAATTCCTGTTTTAAACTTAATGGCACGAAATCATTTTCCTCAAATCAGAGATTCTTGTGTGGAGAGAATCAATTTCTATATTTGCAATAAATTTCTTATTTAAAACAATGAGCTCGGGGTCTGTGTTGAGTGTTGACCCCCTTTAACCCCTCCCTTGGGGGGGGACGGACATAGCACCCTGCAGGTCCTGGTACCCTTTCCCTGGCCTTGCCTTATCAGCGAAGCTCCACTTGGGGGGAGGCCCAGTGGGGGATATGTCTGCTTTCACAGCTCC